AACAGAGTTGATTAGGGTTATGAATAATCAATAGAAACAGCAGATAGTACTGGACACTGAGAGGATGGATTAATTGGAGATACTGGGGAGGGGAGTCTTCACATTAATTATTTTTATGAGGTGGTAATGGTAGCAATCAAGAATTGCAGTCACTTTTTCTGAAATTTCAGTTAATTTTGACTAAAATCCATTTAGAGGTAGATGATATACTGACTGTAAAGATTCAGAGTCCTGGAACTATTTTAATTCAGTCCTTATGCACTGAATTTAATAATCCTGTGAAAAACAGAATGGTAAGTATTTTCAATATATTTAATAGAATTAAAAGCACTTCAATTAATCATTTAGTCCCATATAACTGCATGTGTTATTTAGCAAGCTGAAGCTTGAAAACCACAAGGAATAAGAACTTTTCATGGTAATAATTATTGTAAATTGTCATATTTCTGCTAAAGGAAAAAATATTATTTCCTAAAGTAAATAATTGCTGATACCCCCTGAAACTATTATTTTGTTTGTTTTTAATCTAACAAGGAGATAATCTACAGTTCAGAATACAAGTCTAAGGAGAAGGCAACAAAATAACCTAGTCAGATGGTACTTATATTTCAACTCCACGAATTTCATGGTAATGATATTTTAATAACTTTGGTAAACTGGGTAATTATCTAATAAAATTGCCTATCGCTTAAAATAGCAACCAATTTTACTGCCTATAGATGATAATTACAATAATGTTTAGATAAAGGCTCAAACCTTCTCCATTTTAAGTCAGTAGGTGCTTTGATAATGAGGCCTGAGATGCCATAGAGGTGGGCACAGTAAAACACCCAGCAGAAGCAGGATCTGATATTTAATGCACTTTTCCATTGCAAGGGAAAATGCGTAGAACAAAAGCAGTCTATGTTGCCACTCGGGCATGTTATGAGCCAACACACTGTAGAAACATTCAAGCAGTGGTATAAATCAGCTCAACAATAGGAATGAGAGGTCTCAAGAAACAACTCTGTTCCCAGAAAATGAGACTAACAAGTCCCATGACATCCTCCAAGACAGGAGACACTGTCAAGTCACTGCCTAGAGGGAAGTGAGAGTTTTTTCTGTAAACAGGATGTTGATAAATCAGTTTAAGATGCTTAAGGTCCCCACTGCTGGAAAAAGAAATCTGCCTCCCTCTCACATGTGGATTTATATAGTCAATCAATGTGCCTTCTTCAAAACCTGTTCCTGCTTCCAGTGGCTTCAGCACAAGCCAGTTTGCAAACAGCCTCCCACTCCCCCTGTTTTTTAAACATTCATCTATGAGAACTTACAATTTTTCTTTAGTCACCCAAAAAAAAAGAGGAATTCTGTAAAGTTGGATTTAACATGCATAGCAAAGGCCAGAACATTGAGAAGAGAGTGACTTTGTCTTTGAGCTGCTGTCAACCAGTCTGTAATTCACAATGTTGGGTCTGAAGTAATGGGGTGGTCTGTGCCTAGTGCATGGTAGGGCATTGCATACCATCAGTGCTGCAATATCCAAGTGCCAGCAGGTGAATTCAGGGTTGTGTTTTGGCTTAATAATGAGATACTAAGACTTTTACTGTACTTAGGACATGGATTCAAACACAGTCGACATGAGTACTTGGAAAGGTAAGTCATTACTATTCAATGGCTATTTGGTGGCTTATCTGAATTGAGCTTGATGATCACAGGCTAGTTCCCAGCCTCCTTGTGTACATAAATCTACCGCCAAAGTACTCCAGTAAGAGTCAAGGCCCCTTGTGCTAGACACTGTAAAGTTGATGCTTGAAAGTGTGTGGTTGTGGCACACTAGCAAGGCAGCCAGGGCCTACACTTTTCCTGCCTTTGTATATGGATGAACAGAGGATTTCAGTCGAAGGCTGCCAGGCTAGTATCTTCTTTCACAAGCATAAAGAGGAGATTCACTTGTTTCTTTTAATCAGTGGAATTTCAGCTTTATCTGGAATATTCTGTGCTCCTATTTTTTGGTCACAATGGGAAGGCCAGTTTCTGAAACAGCAGCATGTAACTCCTGCAGTGCTGAGGAATTTCCTTTCCAGCCAAGTGCTAATTATGGTATATGTAGCTTTGTAATTGTGATGATTTTGTTTTCTGTATTGCAGTTTTAAATTTCTAGGACCATGTCTATACTGACAAGCTTACAGCAGCGCAGCTGTATCAATAATTGTGCTGCTGTACAATCGCTCACATAGCCACATTAGGCTGACAGGAAGGCGCTCTCCCATTGACATAACAAAACCAGGTCAATGAGTGGCAGTAGCTACATAGATGGGAAAGTTGTGCACACAAGCTCTTACGCTGGCAAAACTGATGCTGCTTGGGGGTGAGGGGAAGCAGGAACAGGTTTTTTCACACCTGTGAGTGACAAAAGTTTAGCCAACGTAAGTGCTTGTGTAGACATTACCCAGCAGTCTGCTGGAAGCAGCTGCCATTTCATGTTCAGTCCACATACAACTTACTGTGCTCTAGTGGAATTTTTGTTTTATGCTAACATAAAATGAGTATTTAAAACTGACAGTTCGTGGCTGTTCATTGTGAATGGAAAGCATGTATTTCCCTTGTGAAATCTGATAGGAGCAGACCATGCAGTAACTCAGATGCAGAATTCTAGGTTTTTTTATTCTTAAATATTTACGCCTTAGGAATCCTTCAAAACTAATCCCTTGTCTAATAACTATTCTGTATTTTCTCCAAGTAGAATTTAAATCATGGCTGTTCAATAATTTTCAGTTAAATTCTTTATCGGGTACATATACTAGCTAGCCCTTGATTAGAATTGGTGCCTGCTGGGAGTACAAAGGAGTACAAAAGTGTGGTGTTTTGTTGTCTTTAGGAAACCAATAAGTCATGAATTCAGAACGCACTGTATAACAAAGAAGGAGTAAAGGCTACACATCACAGAGTAACTTATTGTGTAAGTGGCAGTTGTGTGGTTGGCACTATAAAAGCTACAAAAGCCAGTCTCTTCCCCGAAGAGCTCACATTTGAAAAGCCAAGGCTTGTTTGTCTGCATTTGAGAACTTCCACTCCTTCCAGATCAGTGTTTTACTGCTATTAGGTCAGCTGCTGTGCTGGGCTCCTTAGAGGTGCAGTATCAGAGTGGGACAAGCTCAGCACCTTTGCACTCTCACAACAAGAAGCTGCTCCAAGGGTCAGAGTGGCCTTGTCGTAATTTAACCATCCCAGCCTGAGGCTTGTCTACATGGGAAAATCTTCAGAGTCACTTCTGTTCCACAACAGAAAATCTACATGCACAGTTACTGGAATAGATGTAGTCCTATAATAATTTCACTGCTATACATCTGTCAGTCATTCATCATATGGATAAGGTCACAACAGCCTCCCGCTGTCTGGCTATGCATAGCAGTGTTGTATGATATAACACCCTTTCAACTACCCATCTCTTCAGCCATGCCCCCTAC